TTTTCCTCAGAGATACGATTCTGTGAAAGTGTAAACCAACGGATGTCTCATTTGTCTATGTCCCCAATGAGTTGTGTAGATAGATTAAAACTCTGTTCACAATTTCCTTTAGCTATTCTTAAGCTTCACACACCCTTGCTTTCCAAGGAGGAGTGTTCAATCTGCCAAAACAAGACTGTTATTCTTTTGAAACCACTTAAATAAAAATATTCAGGTGGTGAGAGTTCCAATCCATGTTTATGCACACACAAAAAGAACATCACTTGAGAACTGCATTGAATCAAGTCTTCAAGTACACACAAAATGAGAATGCGTGCGCCTATAAATGTGGCGCATATTTTCCACTGTGAAAAACAGGCTACTAAAGAAAAAGGATCCATGCCTTCTTACAAAATGTAATTGAAAATAAATCTAGTACTGCATGGCTGCACCTGTTACAGGGCTTCTGCAGAAGGAGACAGATCCTTGAAGCCACCGAAGGGACAGACCACCAGCTGTGAGGGCTCTTGTGCTCCTACCCCCATGCCCAAGTGCTCCTAAGAGACCTCTTCAGAGGTCTAGGGCAGCTCTAAACAGTTATTTCCTTTATCACGTGGAGCAAAAGAGGCTTGAGATAATACAGGCTCAGCTCAGCTTGCAGCCTGGGAAGAGGGGTGGTGTGTGAAAGGATTGTGCTATTCAGAATCTGCAGTTCTGCTCTGCTTAACGGCATTAATATCCAAAAAGAGCCCGCTGCCTTTTTATATCCTGGAAAAGGAAACATCTAATCCTCTAGCTAATTTGATCTGGTAACTTTTAAATAGTACTAAGTTTGTAATTCCGTATAGACTTGCAGCAGTCTTTTCTGCAAGTAGCTACAGGTGGTCTTCCAAAAAACAGCAGCCTACACTTGCTTCACATAAATAACTTCCATTTGGGAATTTCAGCTGTCGTCTTTATCTGAGATCGACCTGGAAAGGTCTTTTCACTGCTGACTGAATCTATCTCACACCCCAAGTGGAACAAAATACACTTAAGAAATACACAGAGGTTACCAGGTTAGCCCTTCATATGGTCTACTTTTGAAGAACCACCAGAGTACCATAAATTTAACCTTTTAATGAGGAAATACATTATGGGTTCAAACACCTGACTCAAAGATCTATATTGGAAGGTTTCTTTAGCAAGCCAAGAAGTGCACCTTGGGGTGATACCAAGGTTTCTTCATTTTGGTACTTGTCTTAGTCACTTTCTTGTAGCTGGGAAAAGAGACCCAACATGAATAACTTAGAGGAGGAGAGGTTTATTTTGGCTCAGGGTTACAGTCCATGGTCTGCTGGTTGTTAAGGCAGAAACAGTGCAGGGTGGGGCAGAGCAGAGCAAAGATGCTTGCATTACGGTAAGGGAGGGAGAGAAGGGGAGGGAGAGAGAAGGGACGATCTAGGGAGGGACATACACCCTTCTAGGTTACACCCACAGGGACCACCTCTTAATAGCACATGCAGCTACCACTATGCCAGTGTATTAATCCACTGATGAACATAGCACTCCTATGATCTAATCAACTATTAAACATGTGAGGCTTTTGGGGGACACCTCTGATCTAAACTATTAACAATACTGGTGTATTTTGGGCTAGGTAAGTCTCTGTTGAAGTGTTCCGTGCTGTCTCTTGTAATCTGTCTGGCAGCACCCCGGGAGCATATCCAACAGATCCCAGTAGCGTAATTCTCCCACTACATCCTCGTTTATGACAATTAAACATGTCTCCAGAAACGAGCACACGGACCCTAGGGGTAGATTCCAGCTTAGAACCGATGGGTTAGGCAAATGTAGTTTACCCAGTGCATAATATGCTTTACAATTTCTACATACTTTCTTTTTCAGGAGTAGAAGCATATCAGATATCAAAGGAGCCTTTCTAAACAAAAGTGATGAACTGAAGAAGGGAAAATCTCAAACTTGCTACAACAGCATTCACAACATTACTTTGAAATTTTGAATAAGATTCAAGAGATGTTCATCATTTTGTAATTATTAAAGTTTTTAAAAGTAGAGAAATTGAGACAGAGAATACAAAATTACCCAGAAAGCTCTCCTCTGTGCTTTACAAAACACACTATATCAAGAAACAGGGATTTTAGCATTTGAAATCTATTATGATGAGAAATAGTACAATATTAAAAATAGTAATAGTAGTTTTCACTTACTGAGACCTTGGTATGTTCGAGGTATTATGCTAAGTATTTAACAGATAAGTATTTTTCAAGATTCACAATCCCATTTGGCAGTTAAGAAAAAGAACTATCTCTCTTTTACAGATGAGAAACTGTAATTCAGAAAAAGTCAAGGGACTTGTTCAAAGAAAGAATATAGTATGAGCCTTCTGAATTTCCAAATATATTTATATTTACATAAATTTGGTTTAATGCCTCTGGGTAAGTTTTTATCGCAAATATTTAATGCACTAAAGGAAGAATTCACTGTAATATTTCACACTAATTAATATACAACTTCAAATTGATTTCAGAAGTACCACATGTAAAGTAGGGAGGTGATAAACTACAGTCTTAAAATATGGCTGGGTTGTTGTCCCTTGGAGAACTAATTAAAAGGCATTTCATCATCAATTAAAGATTCACAAAATAACAGAGTTACGTAAACTAAAGGGAAATTTTATAATAATGAATTCCATCATGCTAGAGCAGCAGTCCTGAGCACTGTGACCTGTATGCAACTTACCTCGGTTTACTCCTGTGTACATTTATTCAAGAAAATTCTTGACTGCTTTTGGTGACAAGATACTACAAGCGCATGGGAAACAAATGCACACCAAAGTCCGAAACATAACTTAAAGGAAGAATTTCAAACTTAAATCTCTAACGAGTGAGCAAGATGTGTTTACAAGGCCCCATACCAGTTGACTTTCTTGAAATGCTTGTTTCTTATCATCTGATAAGAGCACTAATGTGAATTTAAATGGTTTAAAGTCACAATAAGAAGTCAAAGCAAAAATATATTGAGTAATGAAGACCTAAAAAATTTTTTTTCCCAAAATACTTCCTGGAAACTATAATTTCTATTCACTCCTAGGAAAAGGAAAAACCTAAAACAATTCATTTTGTGATTATTTGTGGTTATTATTGTTGTGTAAAGTCTGCATTATTTTTGTGATAAGGTTGATGGACCACCTCAGACAGGTTCTTTAGTAAGCTACGAAAAAAAAAAATCAATTTTCCAGTTCTAGATTTCACATTAGTCTCTTCTGATCCTCTGGAATTCCCTGACAAGTACCAGGGAAACCATGTAAACCAGCTGCTCCTTCCGCCAATGGCAGGAAACAGGCCCATTCTTTTTAAGACCAGTGGGGCGGGCAGGAATAACAGCTATCTCACTTTGTCAGCATAAACAAGAAATGGAATTGTTTCTTTCCAAGCTAATTACACAGCAGATGACACTGTGCTCTGCAAACAGATTATCAGGTATTCTGACTATCTTTACATGCATGTGTGTGCACATACATGCCTGATGCATGCATACATAAGCTATAGCACCAATCCTAACTCTGTCTAAACTTGGAAGGTGGTGGTTATGATCCATCCTTTATCTGGGGTCTCTTCCCACATTGACTATGGCTGGGTGAGATGCTCTTCAACTTTTCTCTCTTACTGAGATCTTAAGGATGAGCCAGTGCTGGTTGGGCATAAAGGGAGAATCAATACCAGCTGGCCACCTCTAGCTGTTTAATATCCTGTCCATTCACCTGCTTTCTCATCTATACATGTAAAAATTGATAATATCCCACTGTCATGCTTTAAATAAAATTAGAAATAATACATGAAGAGGTATGGGAGCTTAATAAAGGGCAGTATTTGTCAATGAGGATTATCTTGATTTTGCTGGTTTGGTTTTAGCAGCAGTAATAGGATATTTAGGTAAGGTTTTAGGACAGTAGAGGCAAACCCATGTCATAAGTGCCACTGTGGGCTGTTTGTATCACTGAAAGCTCTAAAAGGTTCGCCATCACTGTTCTAGGATATTCGCATCAATTTCCATCCTCTATTTAACCACTTCCCTTGTTGAGTTATAAATGACACACTGCCCCATTTAAACTTCTAGCCTACTGGTCTGAAAACTGAAATCTACGTCTGTGTTATAAAATGGGAATTTCTTCCACCAGAATTGAAAAGTTAAAGGCTATGCCCTCTTTAACAGGCCACAACAGCACTAAAGTTCTAGTATTTTATGATGAGGAACCTCTCATCTCTGTTTTCTATGTATTACTTGGTTGCTAGGTGCTATGCTTTGTCTATTACTCCATTTTACTTTTGCTCTGAAATTACATTATGTACAACGTATAATAATTACAATATTACAAAAGCTGAGATGGTACACCAAGCACTAGCATCATGGATTCTTCTTAAAGATTGAAAGTACACCTGCTTTATGAGATTTAAAATAGTTAAGTGATTTATCAGCAAGGCTGCTGGCTACAAACCAGGCACGAGTGATGCATCCTGACAGAGCTGTTTTTTCTACCAAGGGCTTCCGAATAGCTAGCAGGAAACCTGCAGTTTATTGACAGGCTGCTGCTATAGACCACCTAAAGCATCTGCACACAAGAGAAACAAAGAATAATATGATGACCATAGAGTTCAACTGTCTCAATATACAGATGGAAATGGCAAGGTACAGCCTCTACCTAACACGACTGAGCACATAGTTATAAAAAGCTTTTCAATTAAGCTACTGAATATTTCCCCAGGACTTGGGACAATGTTCAAAATGCTGTGATGAAATTGAGACCTCAACACTACGCTGTTCCCATGGTTTTATTCCTTATGAGACTGAGCAGCTCACAGCCCCAGACCCAACTCTTTAATACCTAGTGATGACCTTTGCTTCAGGATCTATGCAGAAGACTGAGGTCTGGAGTGTGCAGTCCCCTCGATTCAGACACCCTGTTATTCCCAGCAGTGTCCCAGCCCTGTGGAAAGACTTGATAAGGTACAGGGGCCTGAGTGTGTGTTACCATGGCTACTTCCCTCCCTTCACAAGTGTGACATCACATCCTTCTGGCTCTGAGTTGTGGATGAGAGTGCTGTAGGAATGAAACCGGTGTGGGCTGGAAGCGGTGCTCCCTTATCTCTCCAAGGTCAATAGTAAAGGCTTTAGCCAGAGCCACTTAATTAGCAGCAGAATGGGGAGCAAATTCTAGTACAGGAGGTTTTGAACTATAAAGTCCATAGAATTCCTTCTAATTTATGGCCCCACACTGTTCCTTGGTGGGGAACGACTTCCTTTCTCCTAGGTTAAATGCACATATGATGTGTAGCATATAACGTTATGACTTAAGAGGAGAAGCTTTATTATACTGTATAGCCTTAGGGGCTACGCAAGAGCACCATCAGGGACAGCACTCCAGAGAACACCCGTATCCCAGGCAGAAGACTTCCAGCCGCCTTCACCACAGGGAATGCTGTGAACTAGAAGTATGTAACTGTGAGAAAAGTCCACCTTTGTAACTCCTAGGGAGACATGGGGCATCAGCCTCTGCTGTTTTCAAAGCAATTAAGTTAAAAGGAGGGAAAGAGATTAGAAATGTAGGTTTTGCTGAAGCAGAAACTCTTCTGGGAATTGTTCATTGGTTAAAGGGTTAAGGAATGGGGAGGGCAAGGGGAAGGAAAGAACTGAATAAGCTGCTACTTCAGAACAATGGTCTCTTTACTCCCCCGCCCCCAGTGCCCTACTTGATCACACAGTAAAATGCTGGGAAAACAGATTAACTCCTTCAGGTCAATCAGACGAGGCAGGGGTTTCCGGACAGTCACTTCTCACATCTAAAAGGAGAAGTATACTGATCGCCAATGTTGCAAACCTCTTTCTGCCTGCAGTCTTTCCTGAAGGAAGCTCAGGGCTCAGGACCGTGATTCACACTTTTTGCAGGAAACTCATTCATTACCAACCCCACTGCATTCTCCTATGGCCTGTGTCATTTCTTACTATTGCATCTGCCTTCCCTCTTGGCTTCAGTCTGGAAACTTCAGCCAGGTCTCCAGGAGCACAGAATGATCCCAGCTGGCGGTTGAGAATCTGCGCAAAGATTTCTTTTAAAAAGTGTGGTCTTTAAATCCAAGGTGGGTGAATTAAACTGACATTTATGATAAACAACTACTATACTGTTTTTATTTAAGTCATTTCCATGAGAGAAAACAAACTCCCTTAGAAGCTGCACATACGCTTCTGGGAAAAGCCATTTTACATCTGTCTCTGTAATATTCTGAATGTGTTATATCAGAAAACTCCAAGAGGCCTTGGAAAAGACTTCAGGCGTGTGCCCTTTGTCTTCAAAGTCAATGACTAGAAAAATGAATTAATTAGAACTTTGAATCCTTAATGATATATATTCTTTCTCTTGCCTTTGGGGGAAGAAAGACAAAAATGAGCTCTTTAAATGACTTCCATGAGAACAATGAACATTAAGGCTGCTGGCTCCTAAGTCCCTCTTTGTATCTTATGACATCTGACACAAGTCTGTAACCTACCTCCGCCTCTCTCCTTCTCATCCTCCTCTTCTTTCAGCAGTTTGCCAACAGAATTATACCACTTAAACTGTGGGTCAGGGATGCCATAAACACTGCAATTAATCAAGGCACTGTTCCCTTCCTTGACTATGATATGGTCGGTTCGGGCAATGATTACAGGCACAGCGCCCAAAACCGCGTCAGTGCCGTTTAAAGTGCTGTTAGCCACACTCTTCGCACTTGCTAGAGTGGATACTAGGATTAAAAAGGGCACAGAAGGTAGAAAGCACACAGTCAGATGGCTCTTCACCAGATCCATCTTCTTTGCTTGCTCTGTAAGGCAACAGCTGGTTTGCCGATGGAATCTTCTATCCGACAACACACTGTTCAGAGCGGGCCATGGGACAAACCTGTCCTGGATCCATGGAGTTGGTATTTGATTAAGACCCTGTTAAAAAAAAACAAAAACCATACATACATAAGTATTAGCACTTATGCTCTAAAGATACTAGTTGTAAAATTTTAGGTATCTGTCTAAAATACAAAACCCACACAAGTTCAGAAGGTGTCCCAATGTTAAATGGTATTTTTCACAAAAAACATAACTAGAACTTTGTTAATTTTCACTATTAAAACAAATAGCTCTTAGTAGGAACAAATATATTTCTCACTGTTAAACTGATGTCACCTTACTGCACAGAGTTCAAAATTGATTTAGCTTCTTAGCTTTACAAGATCTCTTTCTACACAGTCACCTGTCTTCACTGTGGCCAACTTGAGTGCTCAATGGAGTTGTCCCTCACCTGTTCTCTTCCAGGAAATGTGGACTCCAGTCTGTTTCATTGGCCCTAGCTTGGGCTCTGCCAGAATTTGGAAGGACTTTTCCAGAATCAGTCTGGTGTTCTTGTAACTCCATATTATGGCTTCCAGGATATTTTTCTTCCCTGCCTATGATCTTATGACCCCCACTGTATCTGTCTCTATAAGCTGCGCTATTATTGCTTGACTCCTAAGTACTCACTGATTTCCCTCATTTCCATCTTCATCTGCCTCCCAAAAGCTGGAGAACATCATCACGAAGGTGAGGTGACATTTGGGTGGCTGTACTTCTGTGTCCAAAGATCTAACCTTAACCAATTCCTCTCTCCTCCGTTTTACCAACTAACCCAATGGCTATACCCAGTCTCCTAATTCTAAATTCTGAAGTTCAAAGAATTCTGAAGTTTTAAGTAAACCATGTTTAATTGCAATCAACCATTCCTCCATATCTCTTACTCTCCTCACTGGGCCTTTGAAGTCTTCTGTGTTTCTTCGTCTTTCTGTTTCCCTTCCCACCCCCTGGTCTGCAAGGTTCACACCTATCTCAGTCTAGACCCAGTCACGAAGATTACAATCCTCAGTGTCCTCACCCTTGTTCTCGTACCTTGTTTACTCTGCCAATACACAACCTTGATCAAGCCAATCGTTTATCCTATACCTAGAGGCTGGCACAATACTGGAGAGAATCATACAATGGTGTAATTATTGCCGAAATGAAAGAATGACCTCCACCCCCCAGTGACTTCCGGCAAACTGTTTACCAGTGCTCAATCAGTTAGCATTCTCTTTCTATAATGCTTACAGATATCTTCAGCTTGCAAATCAACCAGCTTAGCCCAATGCCGTGCCTAGCTCCTCAAGACAAGAGAGACCGCCTTTCTCCTGATACGCCTTGAAGCATGAATTCTTCTATTTGTCTTCCTACTTTCTGGAAAGCATACTGTATCTTATGTTCAGTCCCTTACTACCATTTACACCCCACATTTCTCTATTTCACCTGCTCTTTCCTAAAACATCTCTTGTTCGGAGCACCAGTCATTTCCTGTTGCCTAATTTTTGTCTCTTACCAAATGTTTATGGTGATTGTTATTATTAATGATTCTTTCTCAAAACTACCTTTCCTTGGTTTCCACACTCTCTCCCTCCTGATTCCCACTCCTTAAAAGTTAACTAACTCATACAGTTTGATTGTGGGCCCTCTTCCCTTTTCACACATAGCTCCTCCTAAGGTTTCTTCCCATGCCTTCATTCCTACCTACAACTTAAGTAGTGACTCCCAAACCCATGTTCTAAGTTCTAACTCCTTCCTGAGTTTCAGATTGTTGCTATCAACCTGGATGCTCTGCAGACAACATAAATTTAACATTTCACAGCCAAAGTCCTTATCTTATTCACAAAATAAGACAGTTCTTGGATTCCTTGTTTCAGTCAGGGCACTACCATCTGTGGAGGTATGCATGGGTGCAGCCTTGATTAAAACATTGTACTACTCTCCCAGAATACCAGTAGTTCCACGTTGTTGGTTTCACTAATTAAATATTACTTAGATCGGTTTCATCCTCATGAGCTCATCTTACCCAAAATCATGCAGCAGTGTTCTGCATGATCTGTCTGACTTCCACCTTTCTCCAAATCCTCATCCAATCCTTACACTCACTGGTAGAGTAACCATTCCATGATTCAAACTATGGTACTATTCCTTTACTTTGCAACCTTCAATGTTTCCCCAGTGCTTACATTATGATACCTGAATTCCTTACCTTCTTATTCACTCACAAAGATTTGTAAGAAAAGACAAGAAAGATCTTTCATCTTAGGTGGAGCTTGTGCTCTCATGAAGTAAAGCAGACAATGAAAAGTACACGCCTAAGTACAGATTTCAGCTACAGATGTACACCTGGATGATAAACACACCGTGAGGGCTACGTGCTGAGTTAGGCAGCTGGGAAGGACTTAACTGAGGTGGCCCCTGAGCCAGGGTGAGCAAGGCCAAAACCTGGGAGAAGAGTGTTCCTGGAAGAAGGAACAACAAAACAAATACTGCAGGTGAGGAAACGAGGGAAGAGTTATAGAATTGCTCAGAGAAGTAGACAAACCCACATCATCCAGGGCTTTGCAGACCAGACTAAGGACAGCTTGGGTCATATCTAAAATTCGATGGGGGCTGAGAGCAGTGGTATACACCTGTAACCCCAGCACTTGGGAAGCTGAGGCAGGAGGATGGTAAGTTGGAGGCCAGTCTGGGCTACCTAGTAAGCTTAAAGCCAGCCTGGACTACATAGTGAAACTGTCTCTTCAACAACAATAACACAGACAAGGACAACAAAAACAACGCTCACAAACAAAAGAAAGAATAATAACGTTCACTGGCAAATTTTAAGCAAGAGAGTTTATAATATGTTTCTTTTAAAAAATCAACTTTATCATGTTGTAAATTACATTCAACATAGTGTGCCTATTTTAGGTATACATTTTACTGAGTTTTAACAAATTTATGTACTCGTGTACCCACCACAGTAAACAAGATATCAAACATTTCCAGCACCCCCAAAAGTCCCTCCGCCCCTTCTCAGTATTTATGTTCGTCATAATGCAGTTCTTACATCTGTGCTGCCCCCAACGAGTTCAGATTCATTTTCTCCCCATGTGGAAATCTAGTTATTTCAGCCCTACCTGTAGAAAAGACTGTCTTTACCCTGCCTTCTTGTTAGAACAATTAATCATATAGGGTGGGTCTATTTTTAAAGTCTTTATTCTCTCCCACTGATCTATATGTCAACCCTTATGCCAGTACTGTATTACCCACACTGTCTACCTCTTTTATCTTTGTATCTTTAGTCTCCGATGCTGCCCGACACATAGGATGCTTGATAAATTTGTCTGCAGAATGAAGGGAGATCTGTCCACGGGGAACGACCATTATTCCACTTCTGTATAAATCATCGCGAAGAGATGCCCAGTGGTGATAAATTGGCTTCAGACCATATATTTCCTCAGTAGGGAAGAAGTTTTCTCAGTGCTGTAGATTTCCAGGCTGTCCCTCCAGCCCCAGTGAGAACAGCACATTTCCCCACTGTGGCGAGCGCAGACAGCACAGGTTGCAATGGGACCACACACCGCTATGCCTCTGGAAATGACTTTCTTTACTTGGCTGAATGTGTGGTTTCCTTTTCTCAGGGCAGTTGTAAAGCTGTTATACATAAAAGTGTTGTCAGGAGCGCTGTCTCAAGTTTTAGACAGACTAGGCCAGGATGTCTATTCCTAGCTACTTTTATTTTTTGGTGGTGGTGCTGGGGATTAAACCCAAGGCCTTTGCACTGAGCTATATCCCCAGTCCTTTTTTAGTTTTTAAATGTTGAGACAGGGTCTTTCTAAGCAGCTAACTTGCCCACGCTGGGATCAAACGTGTCACTTTCCCACTTCAGCCTCCCAAAGTACTGGGATTACAGGCAGGTGATATTATGCCTGGCCTGGTTCTAACCACTTTTATTGGCTGTGTGTTTTTGGTCAAGAAATTACCACGCATAGGAAAATTGTGAAGATTCACAGTCAAATGTACATATATCAAGCATACTGGCTTGGGTTGATAAATATTATTAACATAATGTACAAAGCATCTTGAACTGGAAATTGACTGCTAAATCTATTTTTAAGTTATGTCATTTAAAAGACATACCTTTGTTCTGGTTTTGATTTGGTGTCATCCCACCACAAAGAACCATTACACATGACTTTCTTTTTCCTTTGTAGGGACTCAGTTCAGCCTGACCTTAAACTGGCAGTAATCCGCCTGCCTCAGCCTCCTGAGTGCTGGGATTATAGGTGTATGCCACCATGTCAAGCTAGCAGTTGGTATCTTGAGATTAGGAGGTTGGGTCACTCATCTGTGACTCCCTGATGCCTAGGCTGGAGCACATATCTGCCTAGGTACTTCAGGGGAGACTCAGAGATACAACAAAGCTGAAGATAGGCCCTACTAAATATGTGTAGTGAATATAACTTTTTCACAATTAGGGAGAATACAGCTAACAGAAGAGCAAACAATTTTAAAATGCATTAAGCCAAGAGTTATTTTCAAACAAAGGCCACTTGTTCTACTTTCAAACACTGTGGTTGCAAGAATAAAAAGAAGGGGTACTTCTGAGCTATGATATTTTCATAATAACGAGTGCTCTGGGCTAGAAACACAGTGACTATTCTGAAGCTGCGACTGGCTTCTTAGAGTCCTCCTAATGTAGAGACAGACTTGCATCTTAATGCAGGAATTTTAGTTAGCAAGTTGGTTCTTCTCCCCTCCAATTCCTACTCTCATTCCGTCCCATCTTGAAGTTATTACGGGGCAGAAGACACAGCGTGTAATTTATAGGTTGCTTGTATCAAAGAGTTTTTACACTGAGCTGAGTAACACTAATAGATTAACTGTTTTAATAAAAAGTCACTATTATCACATACGATGCTCTTCTGGTTCTGGTTTTTTGTTTTTTAAAAAAGCATTTGTTTCATGTTGAACACACTGCCAGGGGCTTAGGGGATGGAGAATGGTACAACACTCAAGAAATCTTAGACCGTATCTGCTCAGTCTAGCTGAGAGAGAGAATGTTGACTTGTTCTCTGGTGCCGTGGGCGTGGTCTTGGGCTTGGGTTTAGGTAACTGAACAGCCTGAGAGATACCTGGAGACAATGTCTGTTGATTACCTACCCAGCATCCCAGCCCCTCTTCTGCCTTCCCTTTGCTACAGGTCCCAGAGCACACAGAGCGTGTAGTCTTCCTATTCTTGCCTCGGCACCTGCCTTATGCACCAACTTCTGCCACTCCTCCCTGGCATATGATCTTGCGCTGGTCTCAAAAAAACATCTTTTCAATTACAAGGACAGTTCCTAGATGGCAGAGACTCTAACATAGAGTTCTGCAGAATTTCCTTAATGGGAAGTACCCATAACAACCTTTATATACCTGCTGTATGAAGCCATACTTACGCAGACTCTAAGGGCAATTGCTTAAGATTAAATTACAGTGTGTTGCCTAAAGAAAATGAGAGAGCTTCTGGCCTTGGTCAGGAAATTTTCTACAAACATACTCGTTTTTTTAATCTCTCAAACCAGGATTTTACAGTAGACAACATCATGATAACTGGAGTTAATAATACTCTAATATTGTAAAAGACAATTTAGCCACTAAAGAGTAAACCTTAAGTACTGTAATCCACTAGATTAAAATGCAGTCCTTCAAAATACAAAAACAAAGACTGCAGATTTCAAAATGAGGGTTTAACAAAAGCTACAATGGGCAAATTGTTAAGCGTCATGTGTTTGCTCATGGCCTTTGGGAAATTTCATGGAATGCTTTGTTTTCTATAAATAGGACAAAAGAGAAAATACTTAACAAATATCAAAAGTTGTTTCTTTAATTTGACTTCTTCCCTACTTCCCAGCACTTGTATTTTATCTAAAATGTTTAATGAAATGTTTGTTGTGTCCTGTCTTGCTCCTCTGCCTAGGGCCAACAAGACTCTTGTCCATGTGTTTCTCAAGCTGGGACAAAAAGGGTGCTTTGAATTAAGTGAATATATATTATTGTTTTTTCTTGGCAGAGTTAATGCTGGCATTTTCCCATCCACTCTGATGAGTAATTTGTACAGTTATACACCTGGGTTTTGTCACAGCATCTACTGAGAGTCATTACTATTTTCATTTGCCCTTGAATGATGCCACAGCAGAAAAGCTGTCTCTTGGCTGAAAACACATCCCTGAGAGGGTTCCAATCATGAAGAAAGGAAGGAAAGCCAGTTTCATATGAACTGGAAAGAGGCAATAAAATGCTTGTCAAACCACACATGCTACTGAGGCTGCTGTAGTTATACAATTCTGCAACTTTCTACGTATCACAAGTAGTTAAAATAACCACATAAGGCTTTAAAAAAATGGACTTTTAAAATGACCTGCTTCAATAATTAAAAAATTATAACACTAAATTTTCACTGGCCATTCAGTCTTACTTAATATCTTTCAAGGTCAAGATAATACTGAGTTTTGAGGTGGCCTGTGATCTCTGGATTTGGGCTGTGGGAACCCAAAGTCAAAGGCCAAGAAATTTGTGGAATTTCAGCTACTAACTCCCTAATCTGATCATGTTGTAAGTTGACTGAAATTTATCTCACTGTCCAGTCATGCTACAGGAAGAGATGCTCTGTATGCTTTCTTCAATGTGTTTTCTTCTACTTGCGAACTTGGTCCTGATGCTGCCTGTCATACAAAGGTAACACCCAACTCAGATGACAAATCGGACCATCTCATGAATGCAAGAAAAGGCACTGCTGTTAGTTTACTTTTAGATGCCCACAGAGGGGTTCAATTCTATCCCAGTCAATGTACATCACCTGAGAAGTGACCCCATGCCAGGGGATAATGTGGTAATCCAGGGTCATGCTACAGGAAGAGAGGAGAGATAACTCATACTCTTGTCATCCAAAATTCTAAGTCGACAATTACAGGACAGTGCGACATGGGAGCTGGGGTTCAAGGATCCATTGGGAGAGCAGACCCAAATAGCTTAGGAAAGCCAGGGAAAATTTTCTAGAAGTGATACTTCAGTTTAACACAAAGGAGTTGCCGAATGGACAAGGACAGAGAAGGCAGCCTCAAAAACAGGGACAGTGTATTCAACGAAATCAGAGAGAATTTGACAACTGGGGATATGCGTACTCAGTCACCACTGGGTGGTACTGGAAGGAGGGAGGACAATGGACTGGTCTAGACACTCATGGGAACAGCAGGTACCACAGTGGAAGTGGCACATTCACAGGTTGGGCAGTGATGTGGCTCATTCTGTGCTTAGAAAGATCATCCTGATCACTCATAGCATGGATGGTTGTGCAGAGGTAGCTGGGAGACTGCTGTCCTTAAAGGAAAGAGCAGGAGCCTGAACTAAAAGGAGAAGGCAAGGGAAGAAATGAGCAAATACGGAGGAGATACAGGAATGAGAACGCAGAGGACCTCATGACTATTTTATAGCACACTGAAGTTAATACCAGACCTCTCAAGCAGCGCTTCTACAATTATACTACCAGCTCTCACAGGGGTGTTTCATCTGCCAAAATCCAACGGCTGGCACAGTCAGTGGACTCCTCATGAAGATGAGCATTAAGATTTCAGCTAGCAGTCCCTTGGGCAGCACTATCTTCTAGACACGGCTAGAAGCCGCGGCCTTGCGTAGTCCATGGCAGCTGCAGCCCAGCCCCTTTACCTCCCTTCCCTTCTGTCTCCTCTCTCTGGACACCTGCCTGACGGAGGGTGTTATAATGACAGGCAGCAGTCATAACACTCAAATGTGTAAGTTGTCACAAAATGAAGGCACGGGGCAGCTGGGGTGAGATGAATTAGGGCTCATCTCCCTGAGTAGCTGGCTGCTAGGAAGAGAACGGGATCAAAGAGAGATCCCATGCACTGTGAGCGCATCACTTACTTATTAACTGTGCAGTAATATGATAATTTCTAGCTACTTAGTGGGCAGAAGGAAATACACACCCCAAGTTGCCGCACTCCTGTGAATGAACACCAGATGAGCTGTTTAAACTCAGAGAACAACTGAGATACTACATAAAGTCTCAGTATTACTTTACCGACAACGCTAATGTTAACATTGTTGCAGAATTTTATGCTTTGCTCCTCTTTTCTGCCACACAAAAGGTAATATGCTTTTTAAAAACTAATCTGTTTTATGTCATTGTTTTTCTGAATTAGATAAGAACTTTAATCTCACTGATGTCTTCTTAGTAATATGTGATTTTTGGTGGTGTGTAATGTTAAGTGACCATTCTTGAGTCTTCATCACACTTTTTTTCCTACGTCATATATTGTTCTGATCAAAAGTAAAAAAAATGACACAAATAACGCTCTTAGAAATGTAATGTTTAAGTTGCCAGGAGTCATCAAATTATTTTAAAAATCATGCTAATAAGCAGGTGACATACTGCTGATATCCTACTAAATACAAATATCAGTTAAGCTTGATTATCAGAAGGGATGTATTAGAGAGATTGGTTATTTCAGTATTTTATTTTTCTTGGCTTTTTTGAGACAGGGTCTTTCTATGTAATTCAGGCTGGCCTTAGATTTGTGGCGATCCTCC